CCAGCAACACCAGCCACTGAAGCTGTGACAGCTATCAACAAAAGAGCTAAATTTGTACTGTCCACTCACCCTGTGGTCTGAGACTCCCAGCCATGCAATGCACTGATAAAAGATGTGCGTTATTGCACTACTGTGGTGACCCTCAGCTGTAAGTATGTAAGTTAAGAAGTAACATGACTAACCAGAAATACATGTACAAGTTCTGGCTTCCCTGCTGTAAAACTAGCGTTATCAAGTTCACAGCTCCCCTGTTTGAAACAGAAGCTCAGACCCGTGAAGTGACCTCAAGAAAAATTGTGTTACTCTAAACTCAATTCACTATAGTGTATTTCCTTCATTAAAACCCTACTGCAGCGGAGAGCACACCTTTTAAAGGTACAGTACATGATTTGCAGTTATCCAGAAAGTAACTGATGAAATTATAGTTGAAAAGCATACTTGATTATGGGACTAAACTCCCTGTGAACTTATTCTCTCAGGCAAACTGTCACTTCACAGAAAACATCAAAAGAAGGCCATTTCCAACAATGTGTCCCAAGGCACTTTTGTTGAAAATTGCCATGAGAAGTGTGGACAACCGTAGACACCACACACATGTGCACATGCTTATTATAATTCGCTGGTTCAGACCGTGTTGAGGCCCAGTAAAAACACATGACTCGGCAAAATTTAACACGAAATCAAAATCCTAAAATATTGGTTTTTTTTCTTGAAATATATGGTATACACTGACCTGAATCTTCATCAGGTTTGATCCTAGACACCATTATTTAGATTTTCAGTAATATTTTTTTGGGGGGTGGCAAAAGAAATGTTTCCTTTAATGTGTTGTACATGGAGATACAGAGCTATTTTCTGAAATCTCCTTCCATGTCAGTTTAATAACCCCATGACGACGGCAATTTTTTTCCGAAAGCCGACCCCAAGAATTCCAGCCTCGCTTGGCCACGAAGGCCACCTGCCAAACCGCAAATTCTCGGTTTGTGGCCCTGCGTGCTCTGCACACTTTGAATTAAACAGTGAAAAGGCTCATTGTTTGGTGGCATGCGGCTCTATTCAAGCTTCCACACTCCCGTTGCTTCTTTTTAAAGTGGGGACTATTGTGAAGCTGGTGATT